TCTTCTTCTTCTTCTTCTTCTTCTTCTTCTTCTTCTTCTTCTTCTTCTTCTTCTTCTTCTTCTTCTTCTTTTTTATTTTGATTTTTGTTTTTTGTTTAATTATTTTAATTTTAATTTTAATTTTAATTTTATTTTCGTCACATTTTCTTCGTTTTAATATTTGTTAGCCTGCCGTGTTGTATGGCGGCAGTCAGCGAAGAGAGCAGAGAATACCTTTGTTTCTTTTTTATTAATATGATATATTATAATATATTATAATATAAATATAATAAATATAATATATATATTAAAAAGAATCAATAAAAAGAATTATTTCATACAAAGAAGAACTCGCAACAAAACAGCACAAGACAGCCTGCTGTTTATGATGCAACATGAAGAGCAGCGGTTGCTGCTGTGCAGTGTTTGTATCATATTTGTTTGTTTTTTCCTTTTAGATATATATTAATATTAATAATAATTAATTTAATAATTTATTTTTAAGATATTTCAAGAGAATATACAAAAAAACTCAAAAATCTTAGCTCCCTATACACCCGAACCAACGACAGCCAGACCGCTGGTGTTTTTCTCTTTTTCTTCGTGCAAAATGAAAATAAAATTTAATTTTAATTAATTATTTGTTTTAATTTCAATTTAGTTTATTTAATTAAGTTAAATAATTATTTTTTGCGTTATATTTCGTGCAGCTACGCCGCTGAAGTCAGTTGGCCAGGTGTATGATGATAATAATATAATAACATAACTCAAATAATATTTAAATAAACAAATTTAATTAATTAATTAATTAATTGATTATTTAATTATTTAATTAAACTCCTTTTAGTTTATTATACATACAACTCAGCTCGCCCATCAATACTCTGCAACACCGTCTACATACACTCTAAACCCTAAACCCCAACCCTAAACCCTAAACCCTAAACCTCAAACCCTAATCCTAAACCCTAACCCTAACCGCTAACCCTAACCCCTAACCGCTAAGCCTAAACCCTAACCCTAAACTCTAACCCTAAACCCTAAACCCTAACCCCTAACCCCTAACCCCTAAACCCTAAACCCTAAACCCTAAACCCTAAACCCTAAACCCTAAACCCTAAACCCCTTGTTCCAGTTTTAATGAAAAAGCCTTCCGGTTTCTGTCTCCGGCTCAGCTCTCTAGAAAGGGCGATTTGCTGTTGCTGCTGTGCTAACGCAGCAACAGCAGCAGCAGTCTCTTCTCTACGGGGGTGAGAAGCAATAAATGCTGCTGTTCTTGGCAGCTGTTGCTGCCGTTGCTGCTGCTGCTGCCATTGCTGCAGCTGTTGCTGCTGCTGCTTCTGCCTGTTGCAGCATTGCTGTTTGTGCTGTATCAGCAAGCACACCAGCAGCAACAGCACCAGCAACAGCAACAGCATCAGCAGCAGCAGCAGGCCTATCACCAAGACCAGCAGCAGCAGCATGTGCAGCAGGAGCAGCAGGAGCAGCAGCCCAAATTAATCAGAATCTAATTCAACAGCAGCAAGACACTGAACTAGCAGCATAAGGTTGCCTTGAACCCTAATATCCCCCTTTGCTGCTGCAGCAGCAACTCGTATGCTTCTTGAGACAATGCCTTTCCAGGTCGCTGCACTTGTATGCACAATTACATCAGGTGTCCTTTCACAGACAGCTCGGGTGTATACTATCCCTCTTCTAAAGTGCACGCAGTGCTCTTCTTCCTGCTGCTGCTGCCGCTGCTGCTGCTCCTGCTGCTGCTGCTGCTGTTGCTGCTCCTGCTGCTCTTTTTGCTGCTGTTGCTGCTGCTCCTGCTCCTGTTGGGGTTCTGCTGAATCGTCGTTGGACTGCTGTTGGTGTTGTTTTTGCTGCTGCTGCTGCTGCTGCTGCTGCTTTTGCTGCTTCTGCTGCGGCTCAGCAGCAAATTTAAATAGAACTAGGGCCTCTAGATCTGCTGCTGCTTCTGGGTTTAGTCTTACAGGCAGCAAATCAAATATCTGCTGCAGCGACAGCTGCTGCAGCAAATGCTTCTTCTGCTGCTCCCCCAGAGACAACTGCAGCACACCTTCAGTCTCGAGTGCTGCCGTCAGCAGCCAATTCCTCGCTACACAAACAAACAAACAAACAAATAAATAAATAAATAAATAAATAAATAAATAAATTAAATAAATAAATAAATAAATAATAAAAGGATAGATAAACAAAAAATAAATATATAGATAATGCATGGCTAAGCAGTAAACCAATGAACAAATAAATAAATTAATTAATTTAATTATTTATTAGAAATTAAATTAATAATTATTATATATATATATATATGCATATATTGTATATATATACATATATATATATATATACAGCAGCAGCAACGGCGACAGCATCAGCCACAGCAACAGCAACAGCAGTAAGAGCGACAGCAGCAACAACAGCTACAGCAGCAACAGCAGCAGCAGCAGCAGCAGCAGCAGGAGGAGGAAGAGTAAGTACCTGTTGCAGCAGTTTGCTGGGCAGCAAGTGCTCTAAGAGAAATAACTTTAAGTAGTTTTGCTGCTGTATTATCGGGTTGAAGTGTATGTGCAGCAGCAGCAAGATGAAGCCCCCAGTGCGTCTGACCATTGCGAAGTGCGAGTAAAGTTTTCTGTAATAAAGCTTCGCTGCTGCCTGCAAGGAGCAGCAGCAGCTGCGCATGCTGCTGCTGCTGCAGCGGCAGCAGATCTTCAGGATCTCCGCTAAACCAGCCAAAGTAATGACTAAATATACCTCGAATTGCAAACGAAAGATCGCCATAGAAAGGTTGAAGATAGGGGCTGTGTTTCAGGTGTATAGGCAGGGCTAATGCATGCGCAGTGTGGTGTATAGGGACACCCTTATTAATTTGTCTTAATGTTTGGTCATGCACATACTGTAACGCATCTCTATAGTCTGTAATTGTTTTATAAATAAGCTCTTCACCTTTAAGAGGCCTCCCATGACCAGGCAGCAGCAGCAAAGGCTGCAGCAAACGCATGCGTTCTAAAGAGTTGATCCAGATTAAACAATCTCTCGTCTCTGTCCCTCGAACTGCATATACATTAGGAAATGCTTTATAAAGATTATCTCCAGATATTAAAACTCTTAGATGAGGGATATATATTATTATATGGTCGCGAGTCTCTCCAGGTGCATGCAGCAGCAGCATTTGTACACCTCCTACAGTAATTCTCTCTTCTTCTTCTTTTATTATTCTTGTCGGCAGCACAAACCCTATTTCTGTCTGTGAATTAAACTGCAGCGACTGTCCAATGCCTGCATGTATAAAATCTTTCGGGTGTATGTACACCCCAAATTGTCTCATGCCTCTACGATATGTGCTTCCTGATGTTGCTGATATTATCTTCTGCAGCTCTTCTTTTGTTGTTTTATGTGCGATTACTTCTGTCAGCCCTTCTTCATAAACCGCAGAAGCACCGTATGTGTGGTCTGTATGATAATGTGTATATATTATCGCTAAAACCCTGTCTTCTATTTCTATGTTCTCCAAATCTTCATCTTCGACCTGCTGCTGCTGCTGCTGCTGCTCCTGCTGCTGCTGCTCCTGCTGCTGCTGTTGTTGCTGCTGTTGTTGCTGCTGCTGATCCGCGAAAGGTTGATGCTGCTGCTCAAGCTGTTGCTGCTGCTGCGTTGCGCCTGCCTCGGCTCCCTGCTGCTGCTCTCCCTGCTGCTGCTGCTGCTGCTGCTGCTGTTGCTCTCCCTGCTGCTGCTGCTGCTGCTGCTGTTGCTTCTGCTGCAGCAGAAGTTTTTTGCGTTTTTGTTTGGCCATAGCTCTCCACTGGTTAAAGATAGTTTTCATAGTTTGAGGGTTTTCTGTAGTGTCTACGATAATAACACCGGCCTTAGCTTGTATAATAATTGTATTTGATAAAGCAAAGCCGACTGCTATATACACCCCGTCTATTACTTCTTCTATTTGCTGCTTGAACTCCTCTGCGTGCTGCAGCAGAGCAGCAGGAGCAGCAAGAGGCGGAGATAGCAGAGTTCTAAACTCTGCTTTTAACTCTTCAACAGAAGGCAACGGGCAGTTTGCTGCTGCTGCTGCTGCTGCTGCTGAGGGAGATGTATCACCTGCTTCTGCTGCTGCTGCTATCTGCTGCTGCATGCACAAATCCGCCGCGTTCCCCAGCAACTGCTGCTGCTGCTGCTGCTGCTGCTGCTGCTGCTGCTGCTGCTGGTGAGTAAATGGTACGAAGGATTTGAGCAGAGATAAAACATCAAATGAAGCATCAGAAGGAGATGAAGGAGAAGCAAATGAAGAAAAAGAAGCAGCAGATGAAGAAGAGGATGCGACAACTTTCAAACCAGGAAACAGCAGCAAAGACAGCTGCCGAGCGGTAATCGGCAGAGCAGCAAATAATGCGGGTCCCCACAGCAGCAAACAAATAATTAGAGGGGTTAGCAGCAAACAACATAGATGCAGCAGACGCAAAAGAGATGATAAACAACAGCGAAGACGCTGTATACAGCTTCGCAACTCTCTCTTCAATCCATTCACTAAGGCCTTCCGCTGCTGCTGCTGTTGCTGCTGCTGCTGCTGCTGCGAGTGAATGCGAGAGAGAGGGCGAATACGAGCCTGCACATGTCCAGCTGTGCCTTCTGCTGCTGCTGCTGCTGTTGTTGTTGCTGCTGCTCCTGCTGCTCCTGCTGGTGGTTCTGCTGTTGCTGTTGCAGCAAACAATCTCGAGTGCAGCCTCTCCGATTTGTTGCAGGTTATACACTCCCCAAGTTTGAGAGAAGAAGGGCAGCCAACCTCGGAATCACCTTTGCAGCTGCCGCTGCTGCTGCTGCCGTTGCTGCTGCTGCTGCAGCTGCAGCAGCTGCTGCAGTAGCCGCTCCGCATGCGGCGCTTCAAGCTCTCTTTAATCGAAGGGGGCTTAGAAATACCCCATCCTTCCATATCAGCTGAAAGGTCTGGATGGGGCTGCTGCTCCTGCTGTTCAGACATTGGTTAGCTAAACCCTAAACCCTAAACCCTAAACCCTAAACCAAGCGGAGTTGAGGGAAGAGGTGTAGCGGCAGGTGTACGTACACGAGACCGCAGCTGGGGAGATGGAAAGTAAGTAAAAGGACAAAGAAAAAAAAAGAAAAGAAGATAAAATAAACAAAGGAAGAAGAGACTGCTACGTGCTAGCGCCTGCTGTACTGACAGCTGCAGCAGCAGCAGCAGATGAGAGGTTAAATAGAGATTTAATCGAAGAAAGAGGGTTAAAAAGCGTAAAAGCCAAATCCGTCACAATAAAAAGAAGCTTTTTGATGAATATACACTCTAAATTCTCTTTTTATTTCTATATTTAACTCCTAATCTCACATTCAGAGCACAAAGTATGTGTTGCTGCGGCTGCTGTACATACACCGCAACAACAACGCTCGGCGGCAGGTGGTACTCAGCTGTAGGCGGCAGCAGATTCTACCTTCTTTTATCGTTTTAAATTTCATTTTAAAACCTTTTTTTCTGTTTTTTTCTTATTTTCAATTGCAAAAATTATTTCTTTTCAGACATATTACTATTAAATGATGCCCTCTACCGCGCCCGCTTCAACGCCGCTGCGCTGGCCAGCGCTGCAAAATATGCACGGATTTTCGTGGCGAGAGAAGTAGAGGCATTTAATTATATTTTTTCGAAATATAATAAATTAAAACGTTTTCTGCATTTCAAATAATATTTAAAATTAAATAAAATTAAATAAATAAAAAACAACAACAGAAAAACAGCAGATGTCCACTGGTGAGGGGGCGGCAGCTAAAGCCGTTCTTTTCTCTCGTTCTCTGCTATAAACGCGGAAATTTATGTAAATAAAATAATTAAATAAACAAATTAATTATTAATTAAATTTATTTAATAATTAAATACCCGAAATATACACAAAAAGCTCCGAACACAGACTGTAGACAACCCCTGCTGCGAATCGAACCCGGGCGCGCGCACAACCTCCTGTAAACCCTAAACCCTAAACCCTAAACCCTAAACGCTAAACCCTCAGCCGTAAATTGTAAACCGTAGACATTAAATCCCAAACACCCCTAAGAGACAGAAGAGTTTTGGTATACATTGCTCTGCCTTCGAGCAACACCGCAGCAACACAGCATATTGCTGCTGCTGTTGCTGCAGTTTACATGCTGCTGTTGTTGTTCCTCGTTCACAGCAGCAGCAATTCCACCATATGAACACAGGCATGGGTATCAGCTGCTGCAGTGCGGCAGCGGTTTGGATAGCAGCGGCGGCGGCAGGAGCAGCAGCAGCAAAACCCAAAGTTGCTGCTGCTGCTGCTGCTGCTGAAATTCTCCGCGTGCTGCGCTCCTAATGCGCTTTTTGCTGCTGTTGCTGCTGTTTCTGTTGCTGCTGCTGCTGCGGTGCAGCACCGTTTGTTTGCTGCCGCCTTCTCGCTGCAGCCAGCATACAGCAACAGCAGCAGCATCTGCTGCATCCCAAGCCAAATTTGCTGCTGCATCTTTTATTGGTGCTGCTATTGCTGTTGCATTTGCTGCTGATGCTTCATGTGCATATATACCCTCCCCATCGCACTCCGCTTATCTGATAGAGAATAATAATATTAATAATATAAATAATAATAATAATATTATTATTAATATAATTAATATTATAATTATATATTGCAGGTCTTAAATACATTAAATCCATCGCTTGCAGTGGTGCCGATACACCCGGGGATTTGCGCGTGGAAGCGAAATTCTGAAATGTGTGATTGCCCTCCGTGAATAAACATCAGCTGTTCAGGTAGATCCTCTTCTAAAAACAAACAAAACAGTAAACAATTAATTAATTAATTAATTTATTAATTTATTTATTTATTTATTTAGGTATTTAACTACTTTGCTAGGGTTGTTTATTCTCACACGAATATTTTGATGGGCGAGGCGCCGCCATGCAGATAAAAAAAAATTTTATTGTCGCGAGCACGCAATATTTATTTATTTATTTATTTAATATTTTATTAATTATTTATTAATTATTTATTAATTATTTATTAATAATTTATTAATTCGCCGGAAACCCTAAACCCTAAACCCTAAACCCTAAACGAGTAGACAGACCCCCGTTCGAGCAAACGGAATATTCTACGATGATGATATCATAAACCCCAAACCCTAAACCCTAAACCCTAAACCCTAAACTCTAAAAGGGGTATTTATTCTCACCTTGGGATTGCGCACTCTTCTCCCTCTCGACAGACAAATCCCAAAGAGAAAGAGAGTCGTCTAAAGACGAAGCAGCAAAAACCGCTTCATCTCCGGGATGCCACCCCACACACTGTACGCACAAACCCTAAACCCTAAACCCTAAACCCTAAACCCTCACCTCTGGTGGTTTTTGTGTGTGGCTGTGTGTTACTCGATTGAATTAGGGGTGTATGAAGGGTCAGTATTTTGTGGTTTCGTTCTAATGCAGCAGTAAACATTGCGCTTTGTCAGGGCTGCTAGGGTTTAGGGTTTAGGGTTTAGGGTTTAGGGTTTAGGGTTTGTACGGTGATGGGTTGGGAGTGCCAGTTCATCTCCGCGAGAGGCATTTCGGTGTATCTTAAATCATAAACCCTAATTAAACCCTCTTCATCGCCAGACAGAAGAAGGTTTTGATTTAATGTAGAAAAAGAAATAGAGTTTACGTCGGCTTTGCTTGCACTCAATAAACAAGCGCATAAACCACAACCCCCAGCGCGCAAATCCCACAGCCTAAACAAACAAACAAACAAACAAACATATACATACACTTATTAGGGTTTAGGGTTTAGGGTTTAGGGTTTACGGTTCAGGGGGGGTGGGATAGGGGTTAGGGCCTAGGGTTTAGGGTTTAGGGTTTGCGGTTCAGGGGGTGTGGGATAGGGGTTAGGGCCTAGGGTTTAGGGCTTAGGGTTTAGGGTTCAGGGGGTGTGGGATAGGGGTTAGGGCCTAGGGTTTAGGGTTTAGGGTTAAGGGGGTGTGGGATAGGGGTTAGGGTTTCGGTGCTACAGTTTGGGGGTTAGGGTTTAGGGTTTAAGGGTGGGGGGAGACGCGCGTGTTGCACGGAAGAGGGCTCCCTAAACCCTAAACCCTAAACCCTGAACCCTAAACCCTGAACCCTAAACCCTAAACCCTAGGGTTTGAAAAGAAATAAACCCTCACTCACTTAATAGAACCATCGTCAGAGGCAGCAGCAAATATTTCTCCTTGCGCTTCTTCTAAGGGCTTCCACTGTACTTCTTCTACTGTGGGGTTGCTGCTGCTGCTGCTGCTGCTTTGCTGCTTTTGTTTATTGAGCTTATCTCTGCCCGTCTTATTGCTATTAATTCCTGAAGCAGCATCTAATCGCTGTACACTCCAACCGCCTTCGCGGGGAAGCCACAGAAACACCTGCCCTGAGGTGTCTCCTGTCAACAGACGGCCGAGCTGCATATACACCCCAAAACCCTAAACCCTAAACCCTAAACCCTAAACCCTAAACCCTAAACCCTAATTTCTGAATACACACGCCCTAAAGGCCCTCCTCCTCTTCACTCACAGGAAACACGCGCATACACCCCAACGAACCACCGATGTGCAGTATCCATCCAAACCCTAAACCCTAAACCCTAAACCCTAAACCCTAAACCCTAAACCCTAAACCCTAAATCCCTACGTGGACGGGGTTCCAATCCATCGCAAACCCTTCCGTTCCGTGCCCCTTAAATTCAAACATCGGCTTTTGATGAGGATCAGGCGGAGGACCTGCAGCACCCAAACCCTTATCCCTAAACCCTAAACCCTAAACCCTAAACCCCGCATACTGCACACCAAATTCAAACCCTAAACTTCCCAACTCTCTGCTCTGATATCCTAAACCCTAAACCCTAAACCCTGGATGCACCCGGGACTCCCCATGAACCCTAACCCTAGCTCTCTACTCTCAACCCTAAACCCTAAACCCTAAACCCTAAACCCTAACCTGCAGCGCCAGGATCATCGAGCCTCTTGAGGTGTTTTTCGATGTCCCAGACGCCCACAACTCCCAAATCCGACCAAGCGGCAATCATACGCGGCATCTGCACGCAAACCCTAAACCCTAAACCCTAAACCCTAAACCCTAAACCCTAGATAATGAACTAGTGTCTACAACCTTTCTCGCCACAACCCCCGCAAGCCGCTTGAGGCAACATCCTCCTCCCCGATGGCCGCCTCTGATGTTCAAACCCTAAACCCTAAACCCTAAACCCTAAACCCTAACCTGAGGGCAGCAACGGATCCGGTTGACGGCTCCTTTGTGAGAAATGATGCGCAGCTCTAAACGCGCATCTTCATCGCTGCCTTCTTCCTCCTCGCTCTGCACCGACAAACCCTAAACCCTAAACCCTAAACCCTAAGCCCTAAACCCTAAACCCTTCTTTCCGCGTGTGTGTTTGCGTGTTGGGTGCCTGTCGCTGCAAACCATGTGGCGAAGTAGCCCTTCAGGCCCCCTAAACCCTTAACCCCCTAAACCCTAAACCCTAAACCCTAAACCCTAAACCCTAAACCCTCGTTTACTTCATCTCCAGAAGAAGAGCTATCATCATCATGCTTCGTTTTATGCAAACCCTTCCACTTCATTATATACAGAGCATCATTTTGGCCTTCGCTTTGGGTACCCCCGACAGCATAACAGGTGTGGGGACACCGCGTGCGCACCTGCACATACACCCCAAACCCTAAACCCTAAACCCTAAACCCTAAACCCTAAACCCTTGTGCATGTCTTCTCCCGTATAATCACTTGCTGCACACGAAACCCTGGTTCCTTTCTTCCACAGTATAAAGGCTAACATCAACCCCAACACCATACAGTTGAGGCATTAGGGTTTAGGGTTTAGGGTTTAGGGTTTAGGGTTTACCGCGCCCAGCTGATCAGGGATAAAATCAAATGAAAGACACGGCCAAAATGTCTGCAACTTGTGGAGAAATTCGTAGGCGCTCGAGTGACACTCCAGCACCTCCCCTACAAACGCAAAACCCTAAACCCTAAACCCTAAACCCTAAACCCTAAACCCTAAACCCTAAACCCTAAACCCTCAAACCCTAAACCCTAAACCCTAAACCCTAAACCCTAAACCCTAAACCCTAAACCCTAAACCCTAATCCTTGACCCTTAAAATTAAATCCTTGGGAGGCCCTTACCGTCGGCGAGTTTATCAACTCCAGGACGCCAAACCTGCGGAACCCATGCACAGAGAAACCCTAAACCCTAAACCCTAAACCCTAAACCCTAAACCCTAAACCCTAGGTCCCAACTGCCAAGGTCCACAGCGCAAAACCCTAAACCCTAAACCCTAAACCCTAAACTCTACCTTCACTGGTTGTTGCTGTTCTTCATCTTCGTCTTCATCTTCTTGCATCTCAGCAGCATCTGAAGCGTCGCTCCACTCCTCCTCTGATCCTGCTGCTGCTGCCGCTGCTCTCTTGCTGCTGCTGCTGCTGCTGCTGCTGCTGCTGCTGCTGTTTTGCTTTTTCTGTTTGTTTTGCTGCTTCCGCAGCACCTTCTCCAGCTGCTGCTGCTCCTCTTCATCGAGGTCGTCGCCGTACGGGTCTTCAAACTCCAAGGCATTCTCCTTAGCCACAAACCCTAAACACTAAACCCTAAACCCTAAACCCTAAACCCTAAGTCCTAAACCCTAAACTCTAAACGATAAACCCTAAATCCTAAATCCCAAATCCCAAGCAAAAGGCGGTCGAAGAAGGCCTCACTACAAACACGAGTGATGCAACGAGGGTTTAGGGTTTAGGGTTTAGGGTTTAGGGTTTAGGGTTGCCTACAGCTACAGCCTCTCTTTCATCCTCCTCAGCCCCTGAAGCCCTTTTCTTTGCATGGATTCCTTTCTTACGCTGTAAACACAAACCCTAAACCCTAAACCCTAAACCCTAAACACACAAACCCTGCGCTGGAGACCCAAAACTACACGCCTCCGACAGCAAACCCTAAACCCTAAACCCTAAACCCTCAACCTCGCGAAGGAGCTGCAGATGAATCTCACCTTTGGCTCAGACATCGTTGCTCCCTCAATCTTTCGTTCAATCCCTAAACCCTAAACCCTAAACCCTAAACAATGAATCCTTAGCCCTTAACCCTTATCCTCGTCCTAAACCTCCTCCCTTTAACCCCAAGGGCTGGGAAGCCCCTACGTTTGGGGTTTAAAAATCAGGGTTTAGGGTTTAGGGTTTAGCGTTTGAGGGTTTAGGGTTTGCTGCTGGAGCTGTGGGGCCCGCGAGGCCTCTCCACGAGGGTTTAGGGTTTAGAGTTGTTTGTCTTCTACCTTTAATAAAGAAAAAAAATTTATAAGAGAAAGTAATTGGCTAGCCAGACCCAAACCCTAAACCCTAAACCCTAAACCCTAAACCCCAAACCCTAACATTGCCCTGTGGGCCCTCCGGGGCCCTGCGGGGCCCCGAGAGGCGAAGGCACTATAAACCCTAAACCCTAAACCCTAAACCCTAGATATAAAACCCTAAACCCTTAGTACTAAGCCCTTTAACGGGAATAATTAACAAGAAACCCTAAACCCTAAACCCTAAACCATAGCCAATCTACCGTAAACCCCGAACCAGCAAACAGCAAAGCGGAGCCCTATATTCTAAACCCTAAACCCTAAACCCTAGACCCTAAATCCTAAACCCTAAAAGCTAAACTCTAACTAATAACCCTTAAACCCTAAGAGATAAATACTAAACCCTAAACCCTAAATTAATAACACTAAAAAATTAGCCATAAACCCTAAAATCTAAACCCTAAATTGTAAACCCTAAGTCCTAAACCCTAAACCCTAAACCCTAAAATGTAAACCCTAGTCCCTAGACCCCAAGCCCTAAACCCTAAACCCTAAACCCTAATTCCTAAACCCCAACCCCTGTGCATTATAATCAACCCCCTAACCCGTCAGCTCATCAGCTCTAATCTTGAAACCTTAAACCCTAGCCCCCAAACCCTAAACCCTAAACCCTAAAGGGCGTTCCCCGGAGGTTGTTCGCTTGACAAAACCCCAAACCCTAAATAAGACAAAACCCTAACCCCGAAACCCTAAACCCTAAAACCCTAAACCCTAATACATTGCTGCAACTGCCCTGTTTGCGGCTGCTGCTGCTACGTCTAGCTGCGGCACAAGCAGCAGCTGCTTCTAATAGAGGCAGCAGTAGCTGCAGCAGCAGCAGCAGCTGCTGCTGCTGCTGCTTGGTGTTTCTGTTGCTGTTGATGCAGCTGCAGCAGCTGCTGCCGGTGCTGCTCCTACACGTTTTTTCTGCTGCTTCTGCTATTGGTGCTGCTACTGATACTCCTGCTGCTGCTGCTGCTGCTGCTGCTTCACCTTGCTGCTGCTGCTGCTGCTGCTGCTGCTTCACATCTCTGCTGCTGCTGCTGCTGCTTCACCTCTCTGCTGCTGCTGCTCCTGCTGCTGCTTCATCTTCCCAAGTCGCACAATTTGTTGATGCGAAGCCGCAGCAGAGCGCAGGTCTCTTGGCACTGCAACCGCAGCAAACCCCAAACCCTAAACCCTAAACCCTAATAAACCCTAAACCCTAATAAACCCTAAACCCTAAACCCTAACTTACCAGGGTTAGCTGGGTGTGCAGAAGCGAACCAACAACTTCGGAGCCCTCTAATGAAGCGAAGAAAGAGCAAAGGCCTTCGTATTCCTGTAAACCCCAAACCCTAATAAACCCAAAACCCTAATAAACCCTAAACCCTAGTAAACCCTAAACCCTATTAAACCCTAAACCCTAAACCCTAGACAACCTAGTGAAGCGAAGAAGGAGCAAAGGCCTTCGTATTTGTTTAACCGCAAAACCCTAATAAACCCTAAACCCTAATAAACCCTAAACCCTAACCAGCCTAACCAAACCCTCATAAACCCTCATACGCCCAGTTCCGAAGCCCTATAAACCGTATGAAACCCTCGCAAACCCTGTTAAGCCCTTCTAAACCCTAAACCCTAAACCCTAAACCCTACTTTAAGGGCAGATGCCATACACTCCAGACACTCTTGTTTGCTTCGTCCCATCTGAGCAATCATTTTACTTCTTTTCATCTTCGCAGATATTAAAGCACTCCGCAGCTCAGCAGACAGCTCAGCAACAGGCTCGCAGCCGTGCTGCACACAAACCCTAAACCCTAAACCCTAAACCCTAAACCCTCAAGAATGAACACTGGGCCTCTACCAGGGGAATGGGTACCGAACCCACCTCCGCAAAACTAAACCCTAAACCCTAAACCCTAAACCCTAATAATGTCTACTTTCAGGACCTGCATCTAAACCCTAAATAATACCCAGCTGCGCAGCAAACCCTAAACCCTAAACCCTAAACCCTAAGCCCTAGACACACCATTTCAAATGTGCGGATAAAGAGAGTGAAGTAGTGCGCACTTCGAGCGGCAAAGCCGTGCAGCTCCCGACACTTGCGCAGCCCTGCAGCAGCAGCAGCAGCAGCAGCAGCAGTAGTAGTAGTAGTAGTAGCAGCAGCAATAGCGTTGGCAGCAGCAGTGTCTGCAGCAGCAGCAGCAGCAGTGCCTGCAGCAGCAGCAGCAGCGGCGCCTTACGATTGATTTCTTCCTCTTGCACCTTCTGCACATCTAGGCATAACTCTGAAACGCCCAAACCCTAAACCCTAAACCCTAAACCCTAAACCCTAGTTCCCACAGGAGAATAGGCTAGTCAGTGCAAGGAGATCCATGAGGGTTTAAAATGCGCTGCGAAGAATCAAGGGCCTGGGAACGAGGTCTAGGGTTTAGGGCTCAACCTAAACCCTAAACCCTAAACCCTACACCCTAAACCCTAAACCGCAAACCCTAAACCCTAAGGGTTTACCTGCCGTCAGGTCTTCGTCTGCTGAGGGTTTTTCTCCCCTCCACTTGCAGATATGAATTTGCTCGTAGGCATCTCCCAGCTCGTAGCAGAGCTGTCGTCTGAACCCCAAACCCTAAACCCTAAACCCTAAACCCTAAACCCTAAACAATAAATGCAATGCCTTACGCCGTACTCTACGTGAGTCTATAGGAATGTTTGAATCCGATTAGGGTTTAGGGTTTAATAGGGTTTAGAGTTTATGCTTCAGAAATAGGGTTGAAGGTTTGTACTTGGGGTTTAGGGTTTAGGGTTTAGGGTTTAGGGTTTACACGAGGTCCAGGTAGTATTGAGGGTTTAACTCTGCAGCCAGAGGCTCCAGCAGTTTGCAGCGGCGCTGCAGCATTGCAACGACGCGCGCTACGTCGGGATCGAAGTAACTCAACTCCCTAGCAGCAGCAAAACAACACATCTGCTGCTGCTGCTGCTGCTGCTGCTAGTGCTGTTGGTGCTAATGGTGCTGGTGCTGGTGCTGCTGCTGCTGCTGCTCGCTTTGCTTCTACCTCTGTTGGCGGTGGTCATGCTACTGCTGCTGCTGCTGATTTCGTTGATGCTGCTGCTGCTGCTGCTGGTGGTTGTGCTCCGGCTGCTACTGCTGCTGCTTCTGTTTTTGCTGCTGCTGCTGCTGCTGTGTTCAGCTTACCTGTAGAGGGAAGACTGAAGGAGACAAAGCCGAGTGTGATCTGTAGACCAGCTATCCAACGTAAACAACTGCAGCAGCAGCAGCAGCAGCAACAACAACGGTAGAGGCAGTAGCGGCAGCAGCAGCAACGGCGGAAGCAGCAGCAGCAGCAGCACAGCTGGTGTTGCTGCTGCTCTTTTCTACTGCGCCCTACTGCGATGAAAAGATGATCATGCAACAGCAGCAGCAGCAGCAGCTGCTGCTGCAGCAGCACCCGCAACAGCAGCAACTGCAGCACCAGCAGCTGCAGCAGCATCTTGCCTTGAGGGCAGCATTGGCGTGGAAGGTTGCTGCAGCAAAGAGACATTTAGGCCCCTCTAACCCCTCTGTTATCGACAGACTCCGCAGCCTCTCAAGGTCTCCTTCCCTGCAGCAGCAGCAGCAGCAGCAGCAGCAGCAGCAAGAGAGCAGCAGGCCTAGGTTTTGCAGCAACAACTGCAGCAGAGCACTGGGAAGTAGCAGCACGCCTGCACACTGA